AAATAATAAAATATTCAGGGGGACCCTCTAGACAGGGGACCCTCCAGATGTTTCCCGTAGAGTGCCATATCTAAACCGAAAGAGATGATAAAACTGGGATGGATATAATAGATGGTGCCATGTCACTTAGTACTTTGTAGGAACATAACAGACAAAATCTTCAAGAAAAGAGGCATTCTTAAAAGTGAAATGTTGACTGGCACAATTTCTGAATCAATTTCATATTAATAAATCTAGAATTAAATATAAATGCAGAACCAGCTACATACTAGTTAGTCGCAGGTGCTACTGCACCGACATGTAATAAAATGCAATATACAATGATTTCTAACATCTAGAAGCAGATTCATTTATCAAGATAAAGAGACAAAGAGATTTTACAAATGTAGAACCATATCAACAATTACAGTAGCTCTATGACTTCAAAATTGCTACACATAAAATCCGACATAATTAAAGTCCTAATCATGCAGTGTGTGACATACACATTTCATAAATTTTATTCAATGAGCATCGGATACATTAGATAGAGTATTGGGATAACCACCAAATAAAGGTTCTTAAAACAATAATTAGATAGAAAAGCAACAGTTCCAAAATCTTTAGTTGCAATCTGACCAATAAACATAGGAAAGCTTCACACACACAAATTGAATCTGACAGTTGATAGTTAAATTTCCTTTTGATTAAAAAAGAAAAAGACACATAGAAAATAGAAATTGTATCCACAGAAGAAAAAGATAGTACACCAAAGCTAAACTGGATAAGAAAAACATAAATATTTCTTTGAAAGGAAAAATTCCAAGCACAGGGAAAATATAACATCACAGAAAATTGTATTTTTTAAGAAATAATAAAGCAGTGAATTGCAAGAAGACAACTGGATTAAACTCAATAAGAGTTTATGTACAGTAAATAACATCATAACAGTTTTCTTACTTGGGTTTGACAAAGTAAGTAGTGCTGTAGTATACTTGACTTGACTGTGAACTTGGTGAAAACCACTAACAATGACAATGACAGTGGAATCAGAAATAGAACATAAAAGAAAAGCCCATTAATAACACAAAGGAAGCCAAATACATCATGGCACAACTAAAATACGCAATCAGAAAACAGATCACAGACCTGATAGCTAAGGAGTCAATGTTGAACTACCATAACTTTTCATGCGCAATAAGCAATACGAATGTTCCACTCTTGATATTTTCAGAGATAAAATCAATTGATTTATGGTCAGTCCCTAAGCATAAGATTTGTCATTCGTTAGGCTTACCAGATAGATATTATGAGAGTTTCAACCTGAGTTATAGATCACAATGAAAAAAAAAAATATCTTAGGTGCAATTCAATGCAGTAAAGCTCTAATAAAATTGGCACCAATCAAAGCACCAAAGTCTTCTTCATATCCATGATCAAAATGACTGATAAAATCTGATTCAAGTTTTACAGATAGATATTAAAATTACTTCTTAAGATACTAAGAAATGGAAATGTATTAACAGTTCTTACTCCTTCACATGCGCAAATATATATATAATAAATAACATTTAATCATATAATACATGTCAAAATCCCCATGATGCAACATTAGATTTACAGTGAAGCTAGCATTATTTGGAAAGAATAAAATAAAAATAAAATACCATGGATGAAATTGGTCGCTAAAACTCAAACAACTTCATACCAATAAAAGAGAATTCAATCAATATGCAAATATTTAAAAGACATAAACAAACCCATCACAATGCTGTTTTGCCAGGAAACAAAACAACCAAATCAGGTCCCAAGAACAAAAGAGGAAACAAAGAGAGGTGAAAGCAAAAAACGAACAAAAACTGAATTGGAGCCAATCCAGTATTCATAAATATAATGCAGAGGATGGAGCACCATTATTACAACAAATGCTATTTTATCACAACTGGTTTCGAGAATGCAGTAGAATGGCAGCAATTCTAACCAATTGCAATTCGATTGATCATCTGTTTCCCATGCATTCAGGATGTGCAGAGGCATAGTTCAATTACACCATCCTTTCTTCAGCCCAAGTACTGATAACTTGCAGGAACACCCTACATTTCAGGCAAAAACAGGGAACAAAAAATTACATTACAAACAAAACTGAAATTCAGCTCATTGCATATTATAAAAGTGCAAATTACTTACAGGTACTTGGAACTGGCGAGGGAGATGGTTTAAACGCTGAATATGACATGACCGACACATAAGATGACCATCTAGAGGATAGCAGCGTTGATCAGGTTCATCGGTGAGCTGAAGACCACAATCCTGCAACAATCAGAATTTTAGCATTAAAGTAAAAGCAAAAAAAGCATGAAAATATAGAGAAAATAGACACACTAACCTCACAAATATAACAATCAACATGAAAGTCTTTATCCATGGACACTACTCGAACAGTTTCTTCAGTGCCCTGCAATTAATAAATAAATTTTAAATATATGTTGACACACTTAGCAGCAAAAACAGGCAGTATGATTTGAAATATTTTACCTCAACTGGCGTAATTCCTTTACCACAAGCAGCACATTTTGGCGCAAACATCCTGTTTAGGAATAAGAATCAATAAATTATGAATGGGTTCAGCCAACAATACAAAGATAGATATTGAAATTAATGTGAGTATACCTGTGATAATCGTTGACACAATATATTTTGTTGTCAACATCAACAGTGAAAGGAACCCCATCCAAACATTCATTGCAAATGCAGCAACGGAAGCATCCTGGATGGTATGATTTACCCATGGCTTGCAGTATCATTTCCATGATAAGATGCCCACAAATTGCACACTTCTCGGCTGTCTGCTGGAAGCCAGAATACATATAGTCTTCTTCACAATATACTCGGCCATGCACATTGTAAAATGCTTTCCCTCGAAGGGCTCGACCACAAGAGCAGCATATAAAACAATTTGTATGGTAAAGGTTTCCCATTGCTTGGCATGCCTGCCCGGCACCCGTCACTTTTTCTCCACATGTATGGCAAATACCTGCAGATATGAAATAATTGATTGAAAAAAAAAATACATTGGCAGTATTTTAATTAGTAACAAACATGAACTGAGTTCTAACCAAAGTATTCTCCCTCTTCTTCCTGTTTCTCCATTTCTTCTTCCAATTGCCTGGTCAATTCTTCAATTTTTCGCTCAGCTTCAGTAGGGCCCTTAAAATGTTAACATGGAAAGATTAGCAAATAACATGATGCTAAAGGAAATATTTTATTCTATTGAGAATTGAGTTGGTTTACCATTGGCCGAGGAGGAGTAACATTATAGGGAAGTAAATTCTTGCCAGATCCTGCAATAGGTTTCACTTTGCTAAGGCAATGAGAAAGATGATGACTGGGTGGAGGTTGAGGTGGCAATGGAGGTGGTTGTGTTTGGTGAGCCAGAGGACTGGGACAAGGGCTACTATTGTTGCTACTGCTTCCTTCACTCTGCAATTGAAATAAATTTCTATCAGCAAAGAAGAGATCCATAAGACAAAACGAGTAGCAATCATATTATAATCAGTAATAATATACTTATTATTATAGTGTACACAAATATAATTTTTTTTTTTACAAAGTTACATTGTACTTACTCTGTGTGGTGGATCATTCAAACTGGGAACACTTGCAACTCCAGAAGTGGCTGTTCTCTGATAACTGATTGCATTAGCAACACCTGACATCACAACATAGTCCCCACTGCCACTTAGTGTTGAAACTGTTCCCATAGTTCCAACCGATCCTGGAATTAGCCGTGATGATACTGGAGCATATAGATGGTTTTGATGGCGAGGGGAGCCATACCCGTTTGAGATTGATGAATTCATATAGGATTGGGCTGCACCATTGTTGTAAGGGGGAGGTGGTGGTAACATTCCACTGTTGCTATGATTGCTGTTTGGATAATTCAGTGGAGGTTGTGATGAAATAGTTTTAGACGATACAGAGGGTGGATAGTAAGTACAATGATGTGGTTGAGTGTGGTTGGGTGAAACGACTGGGAGTGCTGTCTGTCTACCATCAGAAAGCGAAGGCGAGGCAACTTGTGGAGCTGCTCTGCTCGGAGAGTAGTTGCGGGAATGTGAGGTAGAGCCTTGAGGATGCTGATGAAAATTTTGAATATTTTCATACACAGGGGGTGCTTCATATGGTGGGTACTTGTTTGGAGGATTGTATTTCACTCCAGCAGGAACCTGTGGTTGTGCCTTATGGTAGCTGGATTCATAACTTGGCAATCCACCACTGCCACTATCAGTAGATGAATGTTGATAGTAATGGTTGGTAGAAGACTTGTTCGCATACATGTCTAAATTTTCATAGACTGGGCATGCGACGCTCATGCTTCCTTTGGCACTGACACTTTCATAGAGACCACCAGATATGCTGGCCCGAGGGCTGTTGGATTGAACTGAGTCTTTGCTTGAAACACTTAGGCTTATGCTATGAGTTGGGCTACCTCCTGCCCCAGCATAATATTTGCTTGAGTCTGACAAGTTGCCAGGACGGTACGGTGGTTGCCCCAATGGAAGCTTATCAGTCATTTTAGAAGGTAACGGTAAAACAGACTCCATCATCTTCGGGGTAGGCTTAGCATACTTGGATGCTGCTATTATGTTCCCACGTTCATATAATTTGTAATCAATTTGAGGTTGAGGTGTATGAGAGCAATTTTCAATTGCAAAGCTTTCAATGGCACCAACATGTTTACGAGCATCATGTTTACGGTAAATTGCATTATTATCTCCAGCCAAAGAACTAATAGGGGTATTAACAGGAAGGGAACGAGATGAAGTTAGATGATTTAATGACAGTCCTGAAAGTCCTGCCTCGGAACACGACACAGCACTGCTAGAAAAAGATCTTCCTTGTTGATCAACAGTCCGCTGGATGATACATCCATAACCAGACTCTGGTAAATGCAAAGCAGTAGCTGGACCAACAGAAGCACCATCATCTTTTAATTGCATACCACTCATCTGATGAACAAAGGACTCCATTTTGACTTTGTTATAATCTTGCTCTGGAGGGTATGTCACATTCGCACTAGGCGCAGAAGTACAATGTGGAGAAGATGACCACTCACAACTCTATCCATCATGAGTCATGGACCAATTGTTTATTTTGAACAGGGGCGACCTAGCCTCTGAAGTGTCCCCATTCACAGTTCTTCTTTTCCCTTTTCAAAGTCTTGGTACTGCATGCGTCGTCCACGGCGTTCCAGAGTGACTGCTAGCCAAAACCAAAAACTGAAATTCGGCGTCTGTAGGGTCTCAAAAGCAATTGGCGTGGAAGGGATAACGCTGTCTTGTCTTGTCTGACATTAGGCCTTCCTCTTGCTTCTTTCCACCACGGCTCCTTCTGACCAGCACAACACAATACCAACACAGTCAAGAAGTAAGACTCGCAGTCGTAATTCATCCACGACCCTGCTCATGAAAGCACTTTAACGTAAAAGAATTAAGCTTCAGTGAAGCAAACTACACAGAAAGAAAATAACATATCTAAAATATTGTGATTTTGAGCGTATAAACAAAGGAATGTTCGGAATGTCGCCGATCTGCATTCGATTCGGTGGTACATCTATATTCGATTTTCAGGAGTGAAGCATGCCTGGAGACTAGCATTGTACATTTATGGAATACAACAGGCATGAAAAATATATATCTGCACAAGAATTATCTGATTGTCACGTTGATTTGCATCAAATGAACGCAATTTGATTATTGCTAGGTAAACGTGCGGTGAAACAATTTTCTCCGATAATAGACTCCAATATCTCCGGGACATGTATGAATTGTATGGGCATTTTGTCAGAGATACGTACCTCTAAATTAGTCATATAGCTGGTATGAGTCTAGAAGCGGAAGATTGGGGTTTGGGGTTGCGGTTGCGGTGGTAGCAGTAGCAGTGTAGAAAGTTGAGTAGCGTAGAGGTGCTAGTGTCGAAGCTATCCGTGTTTTTTTACGGATGAATTCTTAATTTAATCATTTATCTATTGTTCTTTGTATTTTCGTGAACGATTTTGGATTTTTCAACTATTTGATCATATTTTCCTGTCACGTCAACGGTGCTTTTAAGGGCGAATTGGAAATATTTAGGTTACCAGTCCATCATGAGTTTCTCCCCGTCTCTTGGTGAGTTGCTGTCATCTTCTCTATTAATTTTAGGCTCGAAAACAATTTTTCGTCCGTCCAAATGTTTTATTTTCTTCATTTGTTAAATTTTATGTCTCCCGCATTCCTATTTAGTTGTGGTATTATTTGAGGGAGGTTATGTTTTTACATAAGAGGGATATATATTACCCTTTTCCATCAATGTCATCATTTCTGTAGTGATGTACCTCTTAGTTTTCATCTAAGTGTTTTATCAAGTTCTCTTTTTATTGAAATGCTGAAACTGTTGTATTAATCCTATCACTCTTGAACTGTATGTCAATGATTTCATGCCCCTTTACTTGTTTGCTTCTCGCCACTCACCTCCATATTCAGTTTAATTATCGTCACAGTGCTGTCAGGCCCATCAGACCTGACATTTGGCTTATATCGCATTGGAAGAACGTTGAGTTGATTCAAAATGCTCTTTGGTGCAACACGAGTTTTTGTTAATTTGAAATACTTTTTTATTTTCTAGAGATTTACTATGACT